GGCCTCTGATTTATCCTATGCAACAGGACTGAGAAGGACCAGATAATGCCAGCACTTCTGTCAGCGATGGCATTCTAGGGCACTTGGCTCTGAAGCCGAGGCAGGACTGACACATGATGGTGTCTATATGTGATTGGTGATTGTCAGCATTCCACCTGGAGAGGTTTCATGGGTAAGTGGACTCCTGCTCAGAATGCAACTGCCTAGAAGGAGCAGAGACAACTGTGCCGGCAGAGGTGACTGCCTATTAACACAGCCTGTTGTTGATTAATGAAGGGGAGAGAGCACAGAAAACTGAAATCCACAGATGATTGTCAAACCTTATCTTCAGCAATAATTTTATCCTCCTCTCTGATTTCATTGAAAACAAAATTTTTTGCTTCCTCTTAGACCAGAGCTGCTAACAAGAATAAAATGAACTGATTTAAATTTCATCTTCTTTCATTTTCTCCATGCAAGCTGAGGTAGAGTGCTAATGAGCAGTGGAAAGAAAGACCACAAGGGTTCTTCAGAGGATGCGAAGAAAGACTGAAGAGGCCAAAGTCCCTGCCCACAAGGTGGGAGTTTAGCGAGTGAAGGGCAGCATCAGAATGTTTGGCTCATCACAGTGTAGGCTTGTCCTCATACATGCCACAGCCCTTGTCACAGTTGGTGGTGATGCTCTGCTCCATGCAATCGCTCAGGGACCCGGGATTCTTCCATCCCGTGAGGCATCAGAGGCCTCTGCCAAATTCTCTGCATCTGGCTTGACGACAGAGCATGGAGGATTGTGAAGGAGGTCTTGTGAGTGGGGCCTGACCACAGAGAACCCAATCACATAACCCTATCTGACTCCAGGGGAAGCTGGGAAATGTAGTCTGGCTGCGTTCCCAAGCAGTAAAGAAACAGGGTGAAGGTCTTTGTCTGTGCTGGCAGGTTGTTGCTCTTACAGCTCTCAAGTGGGGGAGGGGGGGTGGGGCACTCTTCTCATCAGTACCTGAGCTCATTCATGGCCTTACACGTGGCTTTAGAGTCATCCCATCTTTACTGGAATACAGTCAATCTGCAATACCCAGATTACAGCTTCTCCTGGTCAGGGAAACTCTCGCTAATGGTACATGACTCTCTCTGAAGAAAGGAAGAGGAGACTATTTCCTTACAATCTCATGGCTAGGGACCAGACTCTAAGCCCTTTGGGTCTGATTAGAATCTTTACTATGTTGTTCCCCTTTCTGGACGTGAGTTGTTCCAACTGTAAAACAAGAATTAAAAACTTTTTTCTCATAAGATTTTTGTGATGTTGACAGTAGTGTTTGGTATATTTGCAGGTTTAATATATTAATCTAAAACACTTGGTAGATTCAGAAGGGGAAGAAAATGTTCAGACTTTGCTTCTAACCCCAATAACTCTAGGGAAGTTATTACTTTTAAAAAAGAATTAAGTTCTTTTGAGCTGTCTCTTTCTTGCTCATTAACCAACAAAGAATCTAGTTATGGCTTCTCCTCATCAAGAGTGCAGGGTTATGGTAAAGAATGTTCATTTTTCTTCCAATCTGTAACAAAAATTAGGTCCAAGTGTCTGATCTGTCATCCTTAGACCATCAAAGGACCATGGGATCTATATTGGGGAAAAGTAGAATGGATGGAAGTAATTAGGATTGATTTTGAAGTTTTGGAGCTTAAAACACTTTGTGAACATACTTTCTTCTGTCTGCCATGGAAATAAAATTTTTTAAAAATCTTAAGGCTTCCAGTTCAAAGTCTGTGTTTCTGTTTGTACTTCCATAGGAGTTCAGGGACCTTGATCATAATCCTAATTACTGTAACAGTGCAACTGATTTAATGGAATTAAACAAATACCTGTACTTAGTAGTTACTATATGCTGGGCATATTCAAACTTGTTCCTTTTGTCTTGGCAGGCATAGGATTTGAATCCAGGACCAGTTGGCTGCAGAATCAAGTCTTTTCTACAATATGGTGTTGTCTTTTAGATTATGTAGATGTTGGTGTTATAATTTGATCAAGTTCATAATTTGATCAATCTTGATCAACTTGATCAAGTTCATGAACTTGAAGAACTTGATGACACATTGCTGCCTTTATTACATTGCACAGAAATTATACTGCTTGGTAATGGTGGTGGGAGACTGCAACATTTTTGTTAGGAATTTGCAGTATTTCAGTTTTAGTTTAATAGATGAAGTAGGCTATATAGGTCCAACTCCCAAAGAGCTCCCAGTTTCATGGGTCTAAGTGCAGCTGGGTGTCCAAAGTTGTAAGTCCAGGAAGAAGGTTTTCAAGGGAGTTCTCAGAGGAAATTCACAGTTCTAGCAAAGGTCTGTGTGGGACAGGGAGGATGACCCAGGGGAGCCAAAGGATAGAATAGGGTCTGGACCTGTCAGATGGGTCCTAGAGTCTTCCTGGGAGTTATTTGGAGTCCAGGCCATGTAGAGGGGTCTCACAAAGACCTTGGGTTCATCACCCTGGTGAGAAAACCTTCATCCACTTGCATGTTCTGGGAAGGGGTTACCCTGTTGGACAAGATATGTCCCTCCAAGGTCTTAGTGTCAGGGGTGGCCGTGGGCTCTGAGGCAGAGGTTGGCTGATGCTGGGGCAGCCCCCACTATGTGCCCTTCCCTAAGTGGGGGGAGTGAGGACCCCGACACAGATTTTGTTTTACAGATTCCCAGGAAGTGGGAGAAGAACAGAGGCTGACTCTGGTTTTACATTTCTGCTGCTCTCTCCTTTCCTTCCACTGTAGTGAGGGATTCAGAAGTATAGGAAATTCCTAGGTTAACCAAATGGAGAATGTAATGAACCCACTGATACTAAAAGAAAAATCTGCAGTATCTTTTTCTGGGTAATTAATTAGCCTCTGTCTGTGAAGTGTTCTGAGCATGTGATGTGCCATGGAGCTCTTGTGTTATTAATTATCATCATGCACGGGAAACATAACTCAATTTCTTGACCTCCATGCCCTTAACAGCCCCTGTTTAATGGTGCATTAATTGTAGCTTTACTTTTTGATCAGCTTCGATTCTTTTTAGGTGATGAAATACTTTTTCATGCCTTTCGAGAATTTTTCCTGAGAAAATCAAGTTTCAAAAGTATGTGTGCAAACATGTGTATCAGTGAAGAGCCACTGAAAGTGTCTGAGGCGGGAGGAGCCAGTGAAAGCTCGGGAAACAGGGTGACAGAAGATGTATTTCCTAGTGTCAGATGAAATTTGAAGGAGAGCCTGGGAGCAGGAAGAATCCTGCTCAGGCATGAAGTAATGAAAATTTAGGAATTAGGGATTGTATGGTGGAGAGAAAAACTTGTTATTTTAGCAACTGTTGAAGACAGTGTCCTAATGGGCCCTCTGGTATGCTGGGGAAAGACCATAGGTAGCTTAATACCTTGTGTTAAAAGTGAAAAGGAATTTGGGAGCTGGAGGTAGTCTTGAGACGGATAGATGGGAGACAGATTTGGAAGGAGGGTACCACAATGAGAGTCCTGTGGGCTCGAGGACAGAGCCCTCTGCGGTGAGTGAGTGGCTGTGTGCCCCACAGCAGGCATTGCCCAGGTCCTGAGTAAGCATGGGGCTGGGTGGCAGTCAGGTTTGTCTTCTCATCTGTGCTTGGATGCGGGGTAATACTCACCTGTCTTTAGTGTGGGAATGGTGTTCTAGAGAGGTCAGAGAGTTCCACCCCTGGTTTAGCAGTGAGAAGAGGGAAGGGGAGGTTGGGAGAGGGCCATGCAAGTTAGGTGGACAGTGGTCCTCCAACACGGACTCCAGTGACCACAAGAACAAAAAGCCACAGAGGGATTCAGTAAATTCTTGAGCTGGGCCTGGATTTCCTGGAGCATGTGAGATGGGATTAAGTCAATTTTATTTGATTTTCAAAACCGATGTGACCTCAGCTAATATCATGATACCAAAAGGAAAGACAAATCCTAGCTACTCTGCAAATTGAGGATTATATGCTGAACCTTGTGAATTATGTGCTGAACCTTATGAAGACCAAAGTCCATTGCCTTCCTCTCTCCAGCTTTGACCTTGTATTTGTTGTTTAGTTACTTAGTCATGTCTAACTCTTTTTCAACACCATGGACTGTAGCCGCCAGGCTCCTCTGTCCATGGGTTTTCCGAGGCAAGAATACTGGAGTAGGCTGCCGTTTCCTCCTCCAGGGGATCTTCCTGACCCAGGGATCAAACCTGTCTTTCCTTCATCTCCTTGCATTAACAGGCGGATTCTTTACCACTGAGCCACCAGCGAAGCCCCTGTGTATCCATTCGTTGTTTCACTACTTTTCTGGAATAGTCGTCTGTATCTCAGTGGGACAAACTATGTTTTTAGAGCTTTCGGAAAATCCTTTTCTTCTGGAGCCACTCTGTTCTGGATCACTTTGGGATTTTAATGAGACAAGCCCTAGATAACTGTTCTGGATCATTCTGGACTTTAATTGTGAAGAAACCCAGAGACACTTGTCTCAGAGCCACTCTTGGTTCTTAATGAGGCGAGGCCTATGGAAATGCAAATATGTGGATGAAGTCTTCCAAATTGCTACCTTCTTTCCCCAACTCCTCTCCTTTGTTGTTTTTCATATTACTTCTTTTTTCCTGAGTGTGTGTATGCTAATAGGCATTATTAGTGGACAGGTGGAGGTTTGAGTAGCTATTTATGACTCTACACCTGGACTGCCTTTGTCACTAAATAGCTATATGACCCCTGGCAAGTCACCCAGTCTTTCCTTCTCTGCCTAGTTCTGGCCTTCTATAATCCACTGTTTACTTTTCATTAGATTGCCCTGTTTAGTCATCTCTATTGATAAAATGCTCAGGCTAACTGATCATTTCATCTGCCCAAACCAAAAAACAAAATTACCAAATGTTCCATAGCCAAGATATGCGCCCAACCTAAATGCCCTTCAGTGGATGAATGGATAAGGAAAAAAAAAATATATATATATATATATAGAGAGAGAGATATATATATATATATATATTTAAGACAAATGACTTTTCTTTCCTTTTGAGATCATGATCATATTGATTTGGAAAATCAAATAAAATTGACTTGATCCCACCTTGCATCCTATATGTAATGGAATACTACTCAGCCATAAGAAGATGGAATCTTGTCATTTGAGACAACATGGATGGACCTTGAAGATACTATGCTAAGTGTACTGAGTCTAATTGGGAAAGACAAATGCTATATGGTTTCACTTATGTGTGGAATATGAACAAACAGAATTAATGACCAAAACAAACACATAAATAAGAAGAGAATTGTGGTTATCCAATGGGAAAGAAGGCAGAGGGAAGGGCAGAATGAGTAAAGGGAATCAGCTGTATGGTGACAAGTAGAAACTGAAGTTTTGGTGGTGAGCATGCTGTGGTGTATGCATCTGGAAACTTATAAAATATCATAAGCCAGTGCTACCTCAATTAAAAGAAGTAAAGTGTTGTCTTTGACAAATACTGATATAAGACACTCCGTGATTGCTAACTTGAGTCACCCTGGGTTTGAGAATGCCTTCCTGGCTTGGCTTCTGGTACTCACCTGTGAGATGTTCGAGTATTGGAGTTGCAGATCTTGTGGGAGAGACATTTCTTTCCCTGTGAGTTACCACATCCAGGCAAGCATGCGGGTCATGTCAAGGATCCTAGGCAAGTTCTCAGTATGTCTCTAAGATACATTTCATTCCTTGTGTTTCTTTGTGTTGCCATTCTAAAATGCAAACAGGTTGAAGATGGGAGCTGTCTTTATTGGAAACTGAACAGTGCCTAACCCCTGTGGATGTCCACTGAGTGTTGAATAACAGCAGTGATCATGTAATAAGGACACCGGCTCACTCAGGAGAGAATACCAAATAGCCTGGAATTTTCCTGTTGCTGGCAGCATGGCCCAGGAGCATCCTGAGGTGAATTTAAAAACCTCAGTGATTCAAATCACATTTCCCATAAGAAATCCATCTTCTAGCTTGGAGTAATTGTTCAGCTCATTGCTGGTTTACTGCGTGATTTGTTAGTCCTTGTTTGAATCCTCCAGGTCTGGAAGAAAGATATTGTGCTTTAATGATAAATAATCTCAAAAAGAGGAAAAAACATCCAACCAGCTCCCTGGCCAGTACCTTTCTCTTTTTACCTCATCCAGTATTTTTTTTTTTCCAACTGCTTCAGTTGTTCTGAAGTAAATTATTACCGTCTGAGCTCCATTTAAAGAGCTGCTATAGAAAACAAGCTGCCACAAGCTATTAAGAAAATAACGCTATTTCAGTTTTGAGTGAAAAGGAAAAGAAATTAGCTTCACTCAAGATACATTTTCCCCCCCCATGGAACCAGAGTCTGTCTCTATGGCATCAAAGAAAAGAAACTGTGTCCTTTTTTATCCTCCCTGCTTTCTTCAATTCTACCCCCAGTCTTATTCCAGAGGATCCTGAAGGAAAGCTGTCAGAAGTCTTGGCTAAAAGCTTTCTGATGGGGACACTAATGGTTGGTTTGGAAAGACCCAGGGTGAGTGGGCACGACTGCGGCTCCCCCCGCAGATGTGCAGTGCTGTGCCCAGCACAGACGTCCTCCCCAGCATGGGTGCTTCAGCGTCGCCGGGGTGCTGCTGGGCTTGAGATTCACGCACTTACTCGTTATTGGCCCACAAGTGCCACATGTCTTGCCAGATGACCAAGGTATAGTAAATAAGACATCGCCATGCCCTAAAATGACCTCACTGTAGATTAAAGAGTGACGGGTTCCCCGGATGTGTATAATGACAGTGACAAGCATGACTTGGAGGTGGGTTGTGGGGCCACAGCTCAGAGTACTTACTCCTTCTTAAGAGGGGTCACAGAAACTTTCCAGACGAGGTGATACCTGAGTTGCTTTCAAAGACAAATAGGAATTTTCCAGTTGTAGGAATGGCCAGGAAAGAGCCTTTCATTGTCACACCTTATTTGCTCTCTGCCCTTTGAACTTTAGAATTATTTCATCCCACATTTCCAAACCTTATTGAAGTTCAAAGAGGGGCCATTTCTGCTTCCCTGTGTCTACCACTAATTCTCTCAGCTCTCAAATATCAACAATGGAGCTGATGCTGGGTGCTTTGTAACATCTTATTTGTCTGAACTTTACTCCTGTGTTTATAGATGAGGAGGCTACAGTCATGCAGCTGGTAATTCAGATAGCCTAGTCTGTTTTCTAAAATATAAGCTCTTCTCACTAGAGCATGCTGTGAGTTAAAGAGAAAAAATTCTGTATGGTCTAAGTGGAAAGAATATTTAAGCCTGACAGCCACACTTTCTAGCATGAAAACTTGCAGCACATTTATAGTATTTGCCTGAGTAGATGAGTATCATTGTTATTATTATTATTATACACGAACTATGTTATTTGTGGTGCTTGGTTTTTGTTTTTCCATATTGTCAGGCTTTGAAATGTACATTTTTATGGCACATTTACGTTTCTTAGGAACAGATACTTCCGTGTTTCTGTACTATTTGTTTGTGGACACCAAAAAACTTGAACTCCTGAGCCAGTTGGTAGCACACTTTAAGCAACACTGAGCCAGGCTCACTGCCACAGCAGGAAGATGGAACCTTCAGAGTCTCTGTCCCTAGGTAGACACAATGACACAGGAAACTGGATTCTAAAGTGTCTGTTTGGGACTTTATTTCCTCTTATGGAAAAGAGAATTTTAGGAAGTTTTGAGTTGATCATTGTCCCTGCTGGCAAAGACCACTGACTGTATGAATATTCTAGGGCTAGACTACATTTCCCAGCCTTCCCTGCAGTTCAGCATGGTCATGTGACTGGGCCTTAGCCAATGGGCTGTGGGAGTCGGTGATGTGTATCCCTGCCAGGTTTGGCACACAAACCTCCCAGGCAAGTTCTTTTCGTGCTGTGCACCCTGTCCAACTGCCTGAGATAGAGGTGACTTTCAAGGTGACCTTGGAAGCCGTGTGTTGAAGATCCATGATCAACCATCTGCCTGAATGACTATGTGGAAGAATCAATTCTCTGTCAAGAACTATTAAGTGAACACAGAACAAACTTCCATCGTGTTTCCCGTTTTTATTTTTAGACTTATTTGCTGCAGTAGCCAGTGTTACTCTAAATGATGTAGATAATCTTCCCTTGAGTCTTTATTGTCTGAAACTTAGTATCTGTGGCCTGAATCTTGCAGCTTCCACTGTAGAGAACTTAGTAGGGAGAGTTGGAGGGCTCTGTGAGGCTTTAAATGGGAGGAAGGCACACAGGTTAAGGTCATCAGGTCTCATCCCTGCTATATCTACTGAGCTTGGGGTGGCCTGTGCTGGGAGGGCTCTGTGGCTGTGGAGGAGAATATTCTGACTGTGGTCTTTTCCTTTGGTTGCTTTATCAACAAAGCTTGTTCTGCTGCAGGGTTTCTGATGAGATTTCTGTCTGCCAGGGCCTGCCATCTCTGTCTTTATTTCATCATTCTTCTCTTGAAGAGTTGTCCATTGCAGTGACTTCATTAGCTCTATCTGATTTCAAAATTTTATTCAAGTGGGGTGAGGCTTTCCAATTCTCACAGCTGCTGAGTTTGGAGGACAAGCAAAACCATTCCTTCACTTGCTCATGTGTATTAGTGGAAGGTGTTGGCAGGAACCTGGTGTCAGTGAAACACTTTTAAAAAACACCAACCTAGTGTTGAAAAATATGCATATATCCTCTCAGTGTTTCTAGAGGTCTTCCTGAGTCTAAATTCTGGGCACAGTTTATCTGGATAGATCTGGGGAACTGGGTTTCTACCACCACTCATGCTGTATCTGGAACCCATAAGCTGGAAACATCTGTTACTGAGTAAATCCAGTTCTCAGTTTATTAAAATGTCACAGGACATGACCCACAGGGAGTGGGCAGAGTGGTGCATGACCATGTTCTCATAGACTTCAGGGTCTGAGAACTAGGTTAGATGCTTTCCTTCTCTGGGATTCCACATTGCTGTTTCCTTCTCATTCTTTCAGATGTGAGAAAGCTGAAGCAGGAAGGATTCCTATGTATTGGAATGATAGCCATTGGAATGGCAGCCCACGAATGGTACCTTCGAGACACGCCCCTCTTCTATTCCTGTAAAAATGGGTAGGGATAAGATAACTCAGCATTTGGGGATTTTGAAGGTGGGCATATTTAATATTATATACTTAGCTTTTATTTCCATATTTCTAACTTAACCCAGATTGAATTGCATAGGATTTTATGTTTCTTTTTAAACAGATGCATCTCATTTTACTCTGGGTAGACTTCCTATTGTGGGCACTTATAAATAGGACATTTCATGATTTCTCAAATATTTACTGTTAACCTGTTGTTTATTATTATTTGGAAAGCCATCTCAGCGTCTGTCTCCTCTCAACCAGAATGCTTCTGCCACCATCCCAGAGCAACAGTGATAAGCTATGATACTTAGGAGAGCTCATAACTTTGTTACCTTCTTTAAAAATAGTATGTATAACAGAAATGGTTGGATGGCATGACCGACTTGATGGATATGTTTGAGCAAGCTCTGGGAATTGGTGATGGACAGGGGAGCCTGGTGTGCTGCAGTCCATGGGGTCTCAAAGAGTTGGACACGACTGAGTGACTGAAATGACTGATAAATAATTTCAACTTTCTAACCCCCATTGATGTTCTCAATTTGATTATCCCATTCACAAACTCTCCCAGGGAAGTTGGATTAGTTCTTGTAATAATTTAGATCATCTCGAACTGTCTCAACTTTTAAGTTGTAATGACAAATCCCAGTTAAAGTTAAAATTATACTTTTAAATCTACCAGGGGTGAAAATATCTATTATACATGCCCTTAAAAGGTTCCAGTTGCCTCCTAATAAACATCTTGTTTTTAGAGTTTTGTTTTTCTAAGTCTCTGGAGAAATGGGGATAGTGAAAATCTCTTACTTGAATGCATTATTCAAGGGAAATCTTGTGCCAGATAGAACTTGCTAACAGACAGTATTAAATGCCTTTAATTCTGTCTTAATAATTTCCAGTTGGAAGATTGTGTTGGTTTTCTTCTTGAGATCAGGTTGACTTTGTCATACTTGTAAGAAATCGCCATCAGGAGGAAGACTTTATTTCATTTTTTTAGGGGGCTACATGGTGTCCCCCCACTGCTTGCCCTCCCAGGGCTAAGGACCTAAGGGAGAGCCTTGTACAAGGTCTCCTGGGCCTGGGAAGCAGATGTTGCCTTTAGCATAATCGAGAGAGGAGGGGCACTGGCAGGGTGGTCATCTCCTCATGGAGTGAGCTGCTTTGTCTGGACTCTGGTCTCATTCCCACACTGAAATCAGAGTCAAATAGTGACCCTTTCCTGCCTCCTTCTCCCATGAGGTAGAACTTCTCCTTCTTTTAAAGCAGCAATGTCAGTGGTGACAGGTAGAGACTGTCCATCCCTGTTAGAGGCCAAAACCAAGAGAAATAGGGAGAGAAAGGAGCATTTAGTGCAGAGAGAAAGGGCAAGTCTAGAAATGATGTCCCATGTCTGATAAGATGCTTTGTCACCATGGAATAGGAACTCCCCACACAAAAAATTAAGAAAGGAAGAAGCTTACTTCATGTGGGTATGTTTGTGATGGCGCCAGCTTCCTCAGCACTCTGGGTTTGTCCTCGGATTGGTGATTTGGTGGCCCTAGCAACCCCATATCATCTAGACACCATAGCACCAGAGACAGAGGACAACCTTTTCTGTGGGTTTCTCTTTAATTGAGAAAACTGTCCCTGAATCTCCAGGAGAGTCATTTCTCATGGGCTAGAGTTGGGGTAAATGCCCATTTCTTAGCTACTAATCCATAAGACAGTGGAATTACTGTGATTGGTTTCAGTTCAGTTCAGTCACTCAGTTGTGTCCGACTCTTTGTGACCCCATGAACTGCAGCGCCCCAGGCCTCCCTGTCTGTCACCAACTCCCGGAGTCCACCCAAACTCATGTCCATTGAGTCAGTGATGCCATCCAACCATCTCATCCTCTGTTGTCCCCTTCTCCTCCTGCCCTCAATCTTTCCCAGCATCAGGGTCTTTTCAAATGAGTCAGCTCTTTGCCTCAGGTGGCCAAAGTATTGGAGTTTCAGCTTCAAAATGAGTCCTACCAATGAACACCCAGGGCTGATCTCCTTTAGGATGGACCTCACCCTTTACAGGAGTAGCAACTCTGTGGTGGAAAGACGGGTCCTTGACTTGACTGCTGGCCAGAAAACTGACAGCTCCTGAGGGTTCCACTCCCTTCCCTCCCCTCTGAGTGGAGCACAGCCATTGTTTGTCATACTTTTGTTTTTTTTTAAGTAACATATTCTCCTCTGCTCGGGAACTCAAAAGTAGGTATTCTACAGAAATGTGAACTGTGAAAGTATATCCTATAATTTATAGTCAATGTGCTTTGAAGGTGAAAAACACCCTCTAGTCATACATCACTGTGGCTTCTGTCTGTCTTTTTATCCACTTTTCTCCCTACTTTGCTGGCTGACTTGAATCACCTGCAGAAGAGATCTGAAGAGGGAAGGAGAAATGAAGAAACACACTGGAAAAGATTCTTCATTTATTATTAACTTAAACCTCCAGTTGACTTGCTTCCCCCAGGGTTGGAGACTACAATAGGAGTGGGGAATTGGTCCAGTTAGCCTCAGACATTCAGAAAGAGAGATCAGTGTCGTGGAAAGGTCCGTGAGCTGGGAGAGAGAAGAGCTCAGTGCTAACTGTGGGTTTCCGAGTCCTTGAGCTTCTCAGCCACTCAGTTTTGACTTCAGACACCTTGTTCTCTCTCTCATTGTCTTCCTCTTCTGGCCATTCTCTGGTTTTCTTTTCTACTTACTGGAAGGCCTCAGAGCTTAGCAGACAGGAAATGCCTCGGACTGTGTATTGGTTAAACACATCATCCCCAAACTCTGTTAGTTCATGGTGCTGTGGAGCGTCCAGTTCCTCTGGCCTGGGCTAGCTCAGCTGGTCGAGGCAGGTTTGCTCACGGGTCTGCGCTCAGCTGGCAGGTCTGCTTGATGATCTACCATGGCCTCCCGTGTGTGGCGTGGTTGTCAGGCTGGCGGCCAGGAGCCGGTTGCCTGTTGGTTGTGGGGCTCCCTGGGGAGCTTTGGTTCTCTTCTATGACCTTTCATCCTCCAGCACACTATCTCAAACCAAATCACTTGATGGTCTCTGGGTTCCAAGTCAGCAAGTCGACCAGCTAGGATGCTTAAGCACTTTCCTAACCTCTGATTATATCATCTTTGCTAATCTCCGGTTGGTCAGAGCAAATCACATGGCTGATCAGGATTCAAAGGGAGGAGAAATAGACTTCATGTCTGGATGAGAGAGAAGAGATTTATGACCATTTTTGCAGTCTATCAGAGACTGTATTTTAAGACATCTGAAAAAAGTGATGACTGGCAGAGAGCAACTTTGGGTATTCACTGGGTATAGGACATTACATCAATCACTGAATTTACATGATGTCCTCATAATATCACTGTTCTCATCAGTCCTGCATCTTTGGTGCTTCTGTTTAGAAAAGTCACTATGCCAAAACCCTGCTCTGCTTTACATAGCAGATGTGGTGTAGAAATGTTCCTTGTACATAGAAATTTTTGTAGCTTGAATTATATTTTCAGCACAATAGGGGAGTTGGCTATTTCAAGGAACCCAGTCGTGAGTCTTTTATGAAAGTAACGAATCCTTTTGTAAGACCCCAAATCACCTTCTGGTTTAGCTGCTTGGCAGGTCAAAGTAAAGGGATTTTAAAATATAGATGATGTAGAAAGGGCTCCGACTTTGCACTTGAACTGCCCAAGGTTCAAATCTTCCTGACTGTGTGATCTCAGGCAGGTACTTTAATTTCCCTAAGTCCTACTTAAAAAAAAAAAAAATTTATAAGTAAAATGCAGTTAAGAGATATCTACATCCATTGGATTATTGGGAGGATTACATGAGAAGTTGAAAAAAATGTAAAGGGCCAGATAATTACAGAAGTTCATTCAATGAACACGATGGTTTCTTCCACATTATCAGATGTTAGATTTTGTGTAACTACCTATCCTGTCATTTCCCATCATAGATAAGAAGCTTTTGAAATATTTGTTTTTCAGTTTTGAGATTAGCTTGGCTTGGTTCCCTTTGTCTGTTCTTCCAAAGTCTTGCCATAAAGCTTTATAGCCATTTTCATTCCTTGATCAAATTCAAGAGGGTGGATGAGGAAATGAATTCATAACTTTGTAGACATCACTGGGTAAAACGTCTGTACTAAATCAATTTAAAATAAATTAGCTGAGAATAAGGCAGGTGCTGCCTCACACCGTCTGCAGAGTTATCTTTTAACCTGATCAGCAGAGAACAGGAAAACAATTAACAACCTGGGAAGCCATCCCAGGGTATCTGAGGGCCACGAACCACAAGGTGGTCGGTTGACAATCGTCACAGGCTTCAGGGTCAGTGGGTGGATGTGCCGCGTCAGCACAAAATCCTGACCTGGGGTGGCCAGTCTTCCAGGGCTGTGAGAGCATCACAAGAAATTTATAGCTGGTGAATTACAAAAACAGCTCTAATTAGCCCCAAGAGGCAATAGCATAAGAACTACTGAGAACACTGCAGACTCATATTTGCTTCCTTCTCAGGATTTTATATGAGAGCTTGGTAATGAATGTTCTTTAACAATAGGAGCTGGGAGACCTTGGCTCTTAATAGGCCTCCTGAGGATCCAGCCTCCTTTATTTGCAATCCTGCAAAGATCAGTGGGATACTGTTGTTAAGCCCTGAATCGCCCCCCCAGTTTTCACTGTGGCTTCAATCAGAAGGGAGGAGCAGAGGGGAAGAACTTTTCCTTAACCACTGCCCCCTCCCCACGCAGTAGTAAACAGTAAATAACCCAGCACACAGAGGGGTTGGAATGCTTGGTGGAGGACCAGCGCAGTTTTAAAAGGAGTTTCAGGCACAAAGGTTGTTTTATTTGTTTGTTTGTATTAATAAAGAATAAAAATGTCTCTCTGACATAGGATAAGATACTGTTTCTGAAGTCAGGGTTGCTTTGGCCAGATATTGTCACTGCCTCCCTTGGCCTGCTTTTTATACATCTCAGTGAAAAGGTACTCATAAATTCATTCTCTGGTTGACGTTTGGGGGTGTGGCTCAAAAAATCCCTC